TAGGTGCTATATGTATATATAGTATAGATTTTTAATACTATATAACATCGCATTTTCTTTAGATTAAATAATAGGAAATTATTACGTATCTTAATTCTAACCGCTGAAATTTTAGCTTATTTCTTAATTGAATTGAAAAAGTGGCATCACATATTATATATACTGTTAAATATTGATTAAAACTGTTTATGGAAAACGTTTTAATTAATTCTAATCGTACTATATGTAACTTAAATGTTGCTTAAATTAAAAAAAAAATATAAACTTAAATTGTTATTGTGTTACTCTTTATGTTTTATTATTATTATTATTATGTAATTTTCCACTGTTTTTTTAATCAATGAAAGTTTATAGCTGTTTTTATTTTGTCAAAAAAAATATTTGAAAAATTTGCAACAAGGTGCTGATCATAAATTACGTAAAGCAATTTTGGAGAAGAAGGGTCTTGTCTGGTGTTACTGTGCTGTTATGTGGTGGGTCTTCGCCGGAGGGGGGAAAAACACAATAAAGTTTGCATTATGTAATTTATGGTCAGCCCCCAACTAAATTGTATTTCCGTTGCCCTCGATATAGCAAAAACTGTAACTTATTATGTATAAGTATTCGTACTGTCCTAAATTATTAACGAAAATGTTCTTTTTATACAAAAAATGTAAACATTCCGTACGATGTGTATTATATAAAAAATGGTCTACTTTTTTAATTTTTTTAACATTTTTTAGGGCAGTAAAAGTAATTTCGTTTTAACATTGTAAATATTTTAAATACAGATAAGTGCAATATTCACTATCTTTTTTAATTCAATGTAGACAAAAAAAATTGAATCCGTAATGTCAAATTTATTTATATTCTAGGAATACGTTATGTTATTTAGCTTGTTAAAGTATTATTCAGTGATACGCAAATTATGTATAAGTAATATTTAATTGAAATAAATTGGGCAATTAAGGAAAAAATTAAAAAAAAATATTTTATAAAAACTGGAACTATCGGCAAAACTCTACAATTATCGTATACCGTATAGTAATTTTTGGTTCAGTGACGTATTATATCTTAGCTGGAAATATACAGGGTGTTTGAAAGTAACATGTTATTTTATACTTACACTAAAAATGGTAAATGTCCTTAATTTAACTAACGATAAGAGAAGTAAAATATTTTGTTCTCATGTCTCATACTACCCTGTATGTGTAGCAGTTTTTATACGCACAATTACAAAGATATTATGCTGGTTAAGTATATACATGTATTATAAATATGATAAATACAGACACATAAATGTCTCCAGTTTCATTTTAAATAGAAATCATATATCTAATGTTAGTATTGGACATACGATTATTTTGCGTGTTTAAATTACCTTATCTCACTTAATAACAAAATCGTGAATATTTAAAAACCATTTGTATACCTCGACCTCCTTAAATACATCAGAATAATAATGATTTGTTGTTTTTATTTCTATTGTTAAACTTTAAATCTATAAACAATAGCATTAGACGAAAGATGTTCGTCAATTATTGTTTCAAGCATAGATTTTAAGTCAGCAGAGGGAATTCCCGGAAGATATATTAGGTTTAGACCATTGCTTAGCATTCGGGAGGACGCCGGTTCGATTCCGGGTTCGTCTGCCTTGGTCCAAGTTTTTCTGTGGTTTCCTTGGATCACTTAGGCAAATGCTGAGGCAGNTACATATACAGGTACTCAAATTGCAATATAAATCTCTATATTAATATTTAACTTCATCAGTCACGTAAAAAACTAATTATTTTTTCCAAAAAATAAGACGTCAAAGTCATTGTTTCTTTAAAGGCACTGCAAAATATCACCGCCTGTACATTATTGTTTAACAAACGGGCTAAAAGCCGAGATCGAGCTACATATATTGGGTTAGAACATAAATACGTCACACAAGAGTCGCTGTAGATCTGCCTGGAGACGGCTCTGTCCTTACGTTTTCCATATGTTCTTGATTTTTATACCATACGTTTTTTTTTGGAACAGCAAAACTTATGTCTGCATTAGGAGACGCGCGATTAATATCCATATTTAATCCTGTTCCTGTATTTTCTAGACTTGTTATACTATTTGTGTCAAAGCTATTAAAAATAAAAGAATACAATTTCCATTGTCGAATTTGGATAATTTAAATTTTAAACTTACTTTTCGTTTGCACTGAGTGGTTGACACTTCATAGGCTGCAAGGGTTGATAAACGCCTTTCAGAATAACACTAGCAGTTTCAGCATTCACTTGTTGATTTTGTATGTCATCATTCTGCCTGCCAGGAGGTTGTTTTGAGGGCGACCTTTTGAATTTAGTTGAATATTTGTAAAAGTCTGACATTTCAAATGGTTTTGTTTCTTCATGGTATGGTTTACAACCCCCTGGCTGAATAAGAGTACAATTTCGGGGAATGTTGTTAAAAAACTCTATTTTTGGTTCCTGCACAATCGGGGACGGATTCGGTTTTGATTCGGCGGGGATTTCTAAAGGGGGTTTCGAAAGATCGGGAGAAGGTAGGGGACGCATTAAAATTTCTGAATATTTTTCTTCAGGAGATATTGATTTTGTAACTGGGAACTGTAGTACTGAAGACATTGAAGACTGAGGTCTAGAAGTAGATGTAGGTTGTACTGGGCCATCTAAAGATGTCTCAAACCTTCAAAACAATATATAATGCTAAAATCAATAACGGATTAATATAAAATACCATTCTTTCTGCTTTGATTTCCTTCCTTCTGCAACAGATTCCATTACTGGTTGTACTTCGCCACCAGTTGAAAGGTTATCATTACTAGACCATACGTTATCTATATTCTGAGCGCCAACACTTCCTAAAGACAAAGTCCGAACTAACTGTTTATCATGGTTTTTATTCAATCCCTAAAATAACAAGAATAAATCATAAATGTTATTGTAGATACAGTTATTATAATGCGTACATGCTGAGTTTTACCAACTTTCGACCGTACGTTTTCATGGCAACTTGATATTGTTGCAGATTTGGGGTCAACTGAGGGAGATGTTCTTTTATGATGTGACCTTTTATTTCTCCTTCGGTCTAAACTACCAAATCTAAAAATGTATACAAAGTATTAAATGTATAAATAAAAACATGGGAGCATTTAATAAATACCTTTTTTCTTGTTTCCAATTATCACTAACAACTGTGTTGCACCAAATCATTTCTCCTGTCTCAGTTTGTTTCCAATAACCCCCAAGACCCGAATTCATAACTGCATTTTCATACTGTTGATGAGGTTGTATTTGATGTGGGTTAATAGTACGGTGACTCTGTTCCGAATTGCCCATATGCTGATTATGTAATATATGAGAACCATAAAATTGTGTTTTATGAAGTGAGTTATTGCTATAGTTGGGACTAGCTGACTGTCTATTTAATGAGTTGGGATAAGAATTTGTACCATGTATACCAATTGTGTAATACTTTTTATGCTGCTCATACGGTTGACTAGAGGTGTGATTGCTTTGAATATAATGTTGAGTAGAAATATTTGGATATGAATTTTGGACACTAAGCATATGTTTTTGGAGATTATGAGGCAAAGTACTATTTGTGGTGGGAATGTATTGTACAGGCTTATAATGCTTTTGATGTTGTAAATTTAAATTTGGTTGAGAATGAACATAAGGTGGTGCAGAATACTGACTCACATTAACTCCCTCTTTCCTAAAAATACAACAGTTAATTGCTACCATTTTATATTAAAAGTTTAACATATACCTTTCAATATAATTTTTGTAACCATTTATACTAAGTTTATAAATACTTGGAAGCAAAGCATCTTCTGGTCTATAAATTGTGGGGTTTGAATCACAATCTAAACTTCTATAGACAAGCTTTTGATGACTGCTACTTAAAGTCTTTTGTTCAGGGAGGGGTTCATTAGGGGGATACTGCAGTGACCTCATACTGTGACGAAAAACTGGTTTTCCAAAAGGGTCTTGTCGAAAATTAATATTAACTGACATTGTCTCATCTTTAACAAATTAGAAAACAACTGCAATTCAGATTTTCTGAAACTTGTTTGAAAGAAATACCTTGTTCTTCTCTTAGTTTTTTCTTTTGTTTTGGCTGTTGTCCTGATACTTGAAAATTACAACCTAACTGAGTTGCCTGCTCTGCTTGATTATTATTTTTCAAAATAGCCAATTTTTCTTCTAGCAAATGATACTGTTGTCTGTGTAACTGATACTGCTGCATATGTTGTCGCCGAATTGTCTAATAATAATTATAATAAAGTATACAACTCAATAAATTAAAGGCGGTAGATTTACCTTATTGATATTAGATTCATTTGCTAAGCTTAAGGCTGCTTCAGCCATATTAGCTTGCACTTGCATACTTACTTCAACTGAAGCAATAGAATCATCTTCAGTGTTTAAGTTGTTAACTAAATTTTGAGATAATTGAAAGGATGTACCAACACGCCTCCTGAGAGTTGGAGGAGATTCACCAGGTTCTAAAGGTATTTCTGAAGGTATTATACCTGTCAATTCAGCTTCCTAAAAGCAGATATTGTCAATCTTTTAAAGAAACTTTTTATCTTACAATGGTACTTTAATACACAACTCCCTTAGCTCTAGATTTTTTTTAGCTAATGTTTCTTCAAGCACTTGTTTCCTTTCTTGTAAAGCAGCAAGCCTTGCTGCATTTGGATTTCCTGAGGCACCCATTTTAGTATTTTTAACGTTATCTTTCAGTTTTGATTCATCATCTGCTAAAAGAAAAATTGGTTCATAAATTTTTATTCATAAATAACATATATATGCTTACCCATATCTTATGAAGCAACTTTCTGAAAATAACAGTTTTGAATTCATAATTCAGTCTAACCTCTTAGTTTGCTTACAATTAGTAATCGTAAACTAAGATATAACCCATTATCTCATTTTTCACTGAATTTACGTAATAAACATACCTCAAAGTCTTTAATTTACAGATAAAATTATTTTTGTAGGTTTACATCATTTGCATTTTAGGGATTTTACGACTATGTCTATGGAATAATTTTAAGAATCCTAATACTTGTTGCAGCTCTCTTTTTTTATGGAACCTAACGTAATTCTATGTTTTCTACGTTTTATATACAACCCATGACCATAGATAACCCATGACTGTGTCTAACTATGCGTTAAAATAACAATCTATGTACAAAACTTAAAAAAGTGAATAACGTGGTAACGCAGATTAACAGAAATATTAACCATACGCTTCTTGTTTTTAATAATAATATTAGCGAGATACAATTTTTTTAAAANGAAGTAAAATATTTTGTTCTCATGTCTCATACTACCCTGTATGTGTAGCAGTTTTTATACGCACAATTACAAAGATATTATGCTGGTTAAGTATATACATGTATTATAAATATGATAAATACAGACACATAAATGTCTCCAGTTTCATTTTAAATAGAAATCATATATCTAATGTTAGTATTGGACATACGATTATTTTGCGTGTTTAAATTACCTTATCTCACTTAATAACAAAATCGTGAATATTTAAAAACCATTTGTATACCTCGACCTCCTTAAATACATCAGAATAATAATGATTTGTTGTTTTTATTTCTATTGTTAAACTTTAAATCTATAAACAATAGCATTAGACGAAAGATGTTCGTCAATTATTGTTTCAAGCATAGATTTTAAGTCAGCAGAGGGAATTCCCGGAAGATATATATATAAAGATATAAATTTACATATGCTAAATAATGATAATAACTCCGTGGTCTAAATTTGAACAAAAAGATCTGATCTATGAGTCAAGATCTATAGAATATATCTTTTATAGAACCCTCATCTATGATAGAACCTATAACATGTTCAATGATGTTTAAAATCCATAATGCATCCATTTGTCTATGAAATCCATAATGTCACGTGACCATTTATGAAGTTGTTTGTAAACTTTGATGTTCTTTAAAAAGTGGAATAATTTAGTGTTGTCTGTTAACCAATTTTATTTAAAAATTAGTGAAAGAATATATTGTGCATGTTCTGTAACATAATTATTTTTAGCGCCTCCAGTAAGTAATTGTAAAATGGCGCGCTAATTTTTCATTCTTATAACCTCACTTCTTTTGTTTAATAACGAAATGTTACGAAAGGAAGAAAGATGTATTTTTATAGAAACGTATGAAGATATCTGAAGGCGTTTTCCAATATATTTTTAAAGTTTTGATGTGTGCATAACAAAAATATAAAATTACAATTTCTGTGTAGATGGTACTCTGTTGATAGCACATCTGCTATGAGAGTTATGTTTAAAGTGTTGTAACATGGCAGACGTTGTCACTGTGAAAAAAGATGACACAGAAACAGCTTCTGCTAACAAAGATAAATTATTTGATCCGTCTATTGATATGTTAGTAAATGATTTTGATGACGAAAGGACTCTAGAAGAAGAAGAAGCTCTTGCTGCAGGAGAAGCAGAAGATCCTGTTGCAGAACTTTCTAACTTGCAAAAAGTACGTAACTAATCTTTTAGGAGATTAAGAGCTTTAAATATTTACTTTATTCTGCTTAATTTTAAGGAGAGTAATATGCCCTTAGAGGAGTTATTAGCAATGTATGGATACAGAGATATTCAAGAAAATGGTAGTCCAGAAGAAGATGAACAGGATGTAAGTGAAACTATGGAAGAACAAGAAAGTGAATCACTGGATCCCCCAGAATCAGAATCAAAACTTCATACATTGTATGAAAATATTCCTGATAATGATCAAGATGCTTCCAGATTGCTAAGATGTTAGTAATAGTAATTTGGAGTGGTGTATTTATTTTTTTGTTAATAGTAATTGTTATTTTTTTTATTAGCAGTCTCACGTGTAAGTGAAGAAGAAGATGAAGATTATGACTATACTCCAGATGAAGATGAGTGGCGAAAGGTTAATAAGGTTATTCATCCCATCATTTATTACTATAAGTGTTGAGAGTGTTTTACTAGTCTGTTCATATTCATTATCATGTGTCACAGTTTTTTTTGCATGTAAGATGTACTGACTATAATGTTTCAGAGTGCATGTTATTGCAATGCATATTTTAGTTGTTTAGTACATTTTATGTGTGCAACACATTTCTTCTCATTTTTCATTTCATTGCCATTAATTGTGATTCTTTAGCATGAAAATAAGTAATTGACGTTTTTTACACAACAAATTAATGTTGTTATTTATTAAGCATGCATGTGAAACAAAATACTTGTAAAACATTATTTATTACATTCTATCATATTTGTATAGTTTATTTGTTATATAGACTATTATGGTGGGAAGTGATTACCAAGCACAAATACCTGAAGGACTGTGTCATTATGATGATGCTTTGCCATATGAGAATGAAGATAAACTTTTGTGGGATCCAAATTCTTTATCAGAGGAAGTTGTAGAAGATTTCTTAAGGAGAGCCTCATCTTTAAATAAACCTCTTATCCCAATGGGTACACAAGTTCGTGATGACGAACAGGCCTTATACTTGCTCCAACAATGTGGTCAAAATGTCGAAGAGGCCTTAAGACGAATTCGAATTAATGTTATGCCTTCTTCAGAAAATATGAGCCTTTGGTCAGAAGAAGAATGTAAAAATTTCGAGTCAGGTGTTCGTTGTTTTGGAAAGAATTTCCATTTAATTCAACAAAATAAGGTACATTGATAAATTGTGTAAGGCATTCGCAGCCGTTGTCGAATCTGCTATTAATTTTCAGGCTTGTCTGACTGCCAAGAAGCCTAAAACCAATGACATGTTATGACTTTGCTATAATTTTTTCTCTGATGTGATTACAGGTTCGAACTAGGTCAGTGGGTGAACTGGTACAGTTCTATTACTTGTGGAAAAAATCTGAAAGACATGATATATTTGCAAATAAAACTAGATTAGAGAAAAAAAAATATACGTTGCATCCAGGTCTTACTGACTTTATGGACAGGTTTTTAGAAGATCAGGATGGGAGAGATAGAAGTTCATCACCAAATGTTCAAGTAAATACCTCTGAAAAGAAACTAGTATCTGATAACAATAGCCAAAATTCTAAGGCTCCTCTGGAAACATAGCATTACCCGTATTCTATTTTTTATAATAGTATAAGAAAATAACAAATTCAAAGGAAACAAAAGACAAATAAATTCTTAATTATGGACAAAAAAAATAGCAGTGTTGAACACATTTAAAGATTGGTGAGTTCTAAGTGATATCGTTTTCTTACAAAACTCATTTGATAAATGCAGTGCAAGTGAACATAACTAAATGCTTTATATTTATTGTTGCCTATTTTGTAGTTTTTTATTGCGTTAAATCTTCATTTAAATTGTATATTTTTATACTGTAAGAATAATAAGAACGTCAATTTTTTACAAAGATGTGTAACAATATTTTGTAGATAAGTGATACTAAAAATTATAAGAGTATTTTTGCATACGATAAATAATAATCAATCACTCGTGTTTCTCATTAATGTAACATACACTCCAACCGTCATATCAAAACTTACAAATAAGAGTCACCTTGTAAATTTAAACTAATATTTAATAAGTAGAGGCTATTTTATATAAAACACTGTGATTTAATTAACTTCATTTATAAGCAGAAATAATAACTGTTATAATTTGACGTAATTACTCGTTTTCATTCCAATTAACACATAAATACAACTTTTGAGTTGTAACTCTATCAAGTTCTGCAAAAAAAGTAATTTAAG